ATTATTGAAGGGAGTTAGCCGTTAACACTGTTGAATAAATATAATATAAATTATCAAATCAACCAGATTAAAAAAAAATCCTGTACAACTGTCTCTAAATGATCCACTATAATGCTCAACCAACAAAAAACAAATTAGCCTTATAGGATATACTGAATCCTCAAAAAAGGGGTGTGGTTCTTCAAGATGTGCAAACGCAATTTACTTCAACTTTGGAAGCTTATAACTCGAGATTGGTAATAGCTATCAGGGTCAAACTTGGTATTCTAACTTATTTTTCGCCATATTTCACATCTATGGCCTTAGAATAACATCGCTTCCCTTTTGAAGTTATCTGCACTCAAATTAGCCGCTTTGTTTAACGATGCAAATTTTTATGTGATTTTCGAGGTCACCCTGCGTCCATTTGAGTGGGTATATACCCATCATTACAGATATATTATCTAAGTGTAGTTGTCTCTAGCCACATGCAAGCGCAGGCTGATCAAATCAATTAAAATTGAATGGCATATATTTAAAGTTGGGACCAGATCTATAAGAGTGAAAAACGCCTATGTTTCTCAACAACGGATCGTCATGTTAACATTTAAAATGTTTTCTTAAATTTACCACCCCATCATTCTACTGTCATCATATTCATAATTATGTAGAACTGGTGACTGTCCTCGTGAAATGCAATATGCAAAGGTTAAATAATCCTAATCTGGCTTATGCCAGATTACAACAGTTTAATTGCTATACTGGAAGCCTTAAATTCCGGGAACCAGCGTAGATTTTTAAACAAATTTATAAATACGCCATTTTGGAATTCATCCGAATTATGAATGTAAACACACGCATTTACAGAGTTCTTTTTTTTATTCAAAATAGTACGTATACAGGTATTTATATTAACTCTATTGCTTAAAAAAACATTAAAGTTTAGTCAACCTAGGCCTAGACCAAGGCCCTCGACATAACATAGTTTAGGCCTAGATGAACAACTTTCGGCTCGATCATGTGTGGGATAAAGTCAGGCCTCTGGCTTAGTAGTGAAAGGCCTAGGTATTTAGAATTGGCAAGAGGCTCCCTACCTTGAGTGTCATAGTGGGTCCCCCTAATAGTACCTCCCTGGTGTTCTATTACCTCAGTGCAGGCATATTTTAATTCACAATTTTTACTACTTAGCCTCCTATATTAGGCTTAAGGCCTACTATTACTATATAGCCCTATGTAGACATAGGCCTCTACCTTAGGCATAGCCTATACTCGATTTATTTTATTACAGAGGTTCACCTAACCGCACGCGTAGGCTAGGCTTCCACCACCCCCCCCATCTAGATGTGTATAAGAGACAGCTATTGTGTTTGTTCGTGGTGTGAACGACGGCGTGTACGAGACGTTTTAGTAACGGTTATTTTCTAAA